TTCTTTGTATCTGTTGGTTTGAGAAATCACCCTGAGCTTGTTGGGAAACCTGTTGCAGTTTGTCATGCAGGGAAAAGTAATGTGAACAAAGGTAAGAGGGTTTTATTTTTACATAGTAAGAAACATGTCGTCAAATACAGGCACGTAGCACAGTAATGCAGTACCAATTGAAACCTGCTTTTTGATTGCTCCTTAAGTACAGCACCACTATTGTTAGGTTAGGTTTTGTTATATTGTTGGAAGACTTATCTATTGTTTGTCCATTGTTTTCTCAATCATGAGACCCGTTCCGAGCGGTGCTACCTGGCTCACGTAGCATGACCCTTTTGGCGAGTACGCACATGTCAGGGACCGCGACATATGTTTTGGATTGCTAACGACCGTCGAAGGCGGGGCATCGAGAGCATATTAAAAAGTTATCAAATCCTGAAAATCTTAACATTTCCTTGCCACTAGTACGCACGTGCGGTATATGCGTAAAGGACGCTATGTGCCTGAAATATTACATCAAATGCAAGATATTGGCATGTACCGCCAGTGATACAACATTCTTCGAAAATGTCACTTCTTAATTATCCTGTGTTGTATTTTCTAAACTGAGTGTTAATCATCCGATAACTTACACCTCGAGGACAGCAGTAAGGTGCCTGCACTTGTTTTTCTACAAAATTAAAGGAGTTACATGAACGTTAAGAATTTAAGTTTCTATAATTAAATGCGGGTTATGCTATAATCAGGGTGTTGGTAAGGTGAGAATTGGGCATGGCATACATTCTGCTGTAATCAGAATCTGAGAGTTGTCCAATAATCTGACAAATGTATGCATTGTATTATATCCACATGACTACAGATTTTAAATAATTACAGGACATGGAAGAATGCATCATGGTTCTGATAAATCAAGCGCGAGCGTGCTATTAGCCAATCAGATGACAGCGCGGGAGTTTACGTAAATGACACAGTCATCCGTCGATTTGTCGATGAAATTTCCGATAATATTCCTGTTTCTTTTGTTCAAAACATTTAAGATTATCTGAGAAAGTCCTAGTATAGAGAAAGGATTCATTAACACCTCGTGCACACGTTGCCCGCACATCTTGATCCATTTCAAGCATTTTTCTAGATTAGTTTTTGACTTGGGGAACAGAATGAATCGTCGTATAGCCCCAGCAGCAACACCTCAAAACTATAAACACGCACGAATGCCACGTTTGATTTGTTGCAACTATGACAAGTTTGCAGAACCTTTAAGTGTCATTAATGAGAAATACAATGGATATTCTCATCAATAAAGACTTTGTTGATTACAGAACCTAACACAGACAGCGCATCTAGTTTTMCATCCATGTCAGAAATAGCATCATGTAGTTATGAGGCAAGGAAGGCAGGCGTCAAGAATGGCATGTTTTTAGGTGCAGCTCGCAAGCTGTGTCCAAACATTGTTTGTATACCATACCTATTCCAGCAGTATCGTGATGTCTCTAGGARACTTTACCATATACTGGTCAACCATACACATGATATCGAGGCTGTCAGCTGTGATGAGGCCTACATTGATGTATCCTTGGTATTGAATGGTAATGTCTAGATGCACAGGCAGCCCATCCAAYCTGTGACTGACACATTAAATGTTCTTTAAGCCAAATTTTGCATAACRAAAGCTAAAACACAAAAAGTGCTAATACAAGCATTCACTTGTAGGTTGTGCTCACTAGAAATATAGAATGCTAAAATTCGGTCATTGACAACTGGGTGTTCAGAAGTTGCTAACCGGTGGCTGGGCTGCCTGTGCATWGTACGTAAATGTTGTAAGTAGGGCCTTAGACTTACTAGGGGACCACTGGATCAGTTTGTATCTCCCCATGAAAGCAAAAAGTTCTGCAAAATTGAAAATAGGAGTTTGCATATTGAAACGAGCTTTAATAGTTGCTTTTTTCGCAGCTAGAAAATGTACGAAAGGAAGGCAGAATCGGTTAACTGTCCTTTTTGACCTTGTTTGTCTTTTTGCAGTGTTCGGAAAACGAAGTCATAATTTTGACATAACTTGTTCATTTCAGGTCTGCAGTAAACATGTTGCGCGCTTTGTTTTAACCATGAAAAGGTCTAACAAACAGCCATGTTTCCTTTGTAACAGTATTATTGATTTTTAGAGGATACTACACCCCTTGATTTAGCCAAACAAATTCGCAATGAAATYCAAGACCAGACAAAGTGTACAGCATCAGTTGGTATCGGCCCTAATGTATTACTAGCAAGACTATGTACTAGGCTCGCAAAGCCTGATGGACAGTATCATGTTCATGGAGACAAAGTGCAAGAATTCATTGGTMGGTAAATCATAATGTTATTGTAAAGTATGTTAGTCTCAAAACCGTGTAACRTATTTTTATCCAGTAACAGCAGATGCCAGAATATGAGACAATGAAAATAGTTGAAATCTATTGCCTCGCATGGGTCGCCCGTTCGCGCATTCCTTTTTAGACATTTTTATTATTATTTGAATCCATTGTTTATTTCTTTTTCTTACTATTTTGTTCCCCCCCCCCAAAAGAAAAGAAAAAAACTCACGAAATTTATCTAATTTTCATTATTTACACACAATTGAGCGGATAACACAGCGTAAAAGAGATCACGAAACTCAACTATTGTTTTCAGAACGCACTCATTGATTAGATAGGGCTACCATGGTCAGGGGATAGGGTCAGTAGTTAGTAACAGTTACTAACGTTTCAGACGTTACTTCGGAATAACGTCCGATTCATACTTTTTTACGGGTGTAAAGTTTCATCTTATTTCACAACTGTTTCACCCACGCAMCTTACACTAGTTTATCGCTAGTTATAAAGTATGACTTCCTACTTGACTTTGTTGAAATGTTCGAAAACCTAATCATTTTATTTGTCAATAAAATATAGATTGGTTGTAGTAAGTTTAAAATGATTTAAAACGTTATTGACTTTGGTTCAAATGCTGTTCCATTGATTATCAACAGGTCAACAAAAAGTGTCTGATTTGCCAGGAGTCGGGCGATCACTCAGAGAAAAGCTTCATGGTTTAGGAGTAACGACTTGTGTTGATCTTCAACGGCTGAGCCTGMAATCCTTACAGGACAGCCTGGGCGAGAAGACAGGTCTTATGGTATACCGTTATGGGCGTGGCGAGGACGACAGGCCACTGAGAGTCGAACGAGAAAGAAAGTCGGTGTCTGCTGAAATAAACTACGGGATACGATTCACAGAGGTGCAGTGCAACTTATCCCTTTTCACTCGTTCTTGTCACTGCTCGGATGATGAACAAGAGATTGGCGTTTTGCAGTAGTTTTTATCTTATTCGTAACCACGCCATCTTGAATTGTAACCGGGTGTCTTGTTTGGAATGACAATGACTGATGATCATACTTGTGCATGAATTGTAGAAAAAACATTTGAAAAAGTGAGGTCCATTATTTCAAACACACTAACCGGCTTATGAATTCTTTCTCTGTTACTCGTCAAGCCAAATTATTGTCCCTTTTAATTTAGACAATCATTGCCGTGACCGCATCTTATATGAGAAAGAGATTTGTCCTGATTTCCGTAAGACTTTAACTTCGATTTTCTCTTAAAAATCATATTTTTTAAGTTTTACCAAAATATGCTTTACCTTATGCTAGAATTTGATAAGCAATACAAAATATTCGTGCCTGACATTTATTGTCATTAAAACTGCTTTCTTGTATCTCGTAGTTTTAAATGCCCATAAAATCCCGCTCATATTTATATATTACAAAAAGAAGAAAAAAGATACATAGCACTTCAAGGACCCCATACAATGGTCTCTTAGCTATCCGGCCTTGTGTAATGTGATTGAAGGCTACTGAAATGTGTTGAAAATCTGTTTGCACGAACCAAAGACAATGATTTCAGATGTCTTTATGTGATGTACTTACTWTGATTGACAGGAATCTGAACCAATAAAGTTTATCAGCGAATTGTCAGTTGAAGTTCAGAAAAGACTCAGAGACATTGAATCCAAAGGACAGTCAGTTTGCTTAAAGGTACGGGTCATCATGGCGTGTATCCTCGTACTTACGTTTCTGACGTTGGTTCTTCTTTTATTTTGACATAAAGTCAGTAATTTTTCATTCTTGGGCGGTTAAATGTATCCTTTTATCACCGAAACAGCTATAATTTCTACTATTTCTATTTTCAGTTAAAAGTGCGTAAAAAAGGAGCCCCAGAGCCCCTCAAGTTTATGGGCCATGGAATATGTGATAATATTGCACGTTCTGCGTCACTTCCGGTTCCTACTGACGACTCCAAAACAATAGCAGCCAAATGTCATCATTTATTGCATCAGTTGAAGCTCYTGCCGTCAGATATACGCGGTATGGGYATCCAAGTAAACAGACTAACACAACACAAAGCAACCACTCGTACTTTACATGACTTTGCTACGACCAAACCTMCACAAAGAACACCTCTTCTAGAGCGACCGGGCGATGTAACGAGTTCTACTTCCGCTAATAAACCTCCTCAAAGAACCTCTCMACAAGAACGACCGGACGATGTAGCGAGTGTGATTGCCACTAATAAACCTCTACAGAAAAACGGCTCTCTACTAGAACGACCAGACGATGAAGCGAGTTTGATTGCCACTTATAACGCTTTACAGCGAACACGCTCTCTACTAGAACGACCAGACGATGAAGCGAGTTTGATTGCCACTTATAACGCTTCACARCGAACACTCTTACAAGAACGAACGGGCGATATAACGAGTTTTACGCCATCGCGTTCTCCTTCAAACTCTTTTTATTCACATGAGATGAATACACCAGGGCATGAAGTAAGCGACAAATTATGCTTTAACGAACCCTTTAAGGAGAGCGGGAGACTCCCTCCCCTCCCTCCCCTCCCCCAGTTTTTYCCTTCTTCTCCCTCAGCGACAAGGAAACGCTCGATACCAAAGTCACCAGAACCCCAACCAGTGTCAGACGTCATGGAAGAGCTTCTATTACCATCGCCTTCTCAGCTAGACCACAATGCATTGAACGCGCTACCGGAAGAKATTCGACTCAGTATTCAAAGGCAGTACGCTAAAAGGAACAATTCTATTGCTGTTATAGATAACAAAGAAACAATTACGGTACGTAATGTATAAAACAATCTCCCCCAACCCACCCCACCCCACCCCACTGTCTCCTGGTACCTGTACAGATCATATTCAATGATTGGAAGATGTTTTCAGTGCTTCAATTCTGCGTTAGAAACACTACTTTGGATTAATAGCAGATCACAACGAAGATTTTGAAACACGAGCTCTTTCAATTACAACAATCTCAAGTGTTTCAAACCGAGAATGGAGTCATGGAAAGCACCTTTTAATAGATTTCTGAACCTATTAMGTCACTACTTGATTTTCAATGCATTGTGGGATCAGTTCGTTGTGAGAAGAAAAGAAACCCGCCAAGATCTATCAAAAACATATCCTACAATGCATTGCATATACGGCATGTAAAAGCTTCAGCTGTCTATTCTTGTATGATATACGCTTGCAAGCCGTGTTTCTAACCTCTCATAGAAACACTGAGTATTTACATTTCTACCAATCAATGTGCCCGTTATATAAATAGTAATTTTATTTAACAAATAGATCTCATTTTTCCGTGCGTGTGTACTCTAATAGATACACAGATGACGTCACTAAAATGTAGTGAGAACAAAAAAGTGCGCACGAGACGCAGTCGAGTGCGTGACTGTTGTTCTCACTACATTTTGACGTCATCTGTGTATCTATTAGAGTACACACGCACGGAAAAATGAGATCTATCTGTTTTATACAACAAACAATTAAGTTTTGACGTAATCCGTGTATCTATACTTTGATAACACACGAAAGCCAACCAAAACGTCTGATTTTACTGAAAAGTTGTATAAAATATTGATATCAACCAATCAATTTACCCGTTATATAATAGTTATTTTATAATATTGATTTCAACCAATCAATGTGCCCGTTATATAATAGTTATTTTATAATATTGATATCAACCAATCAATGTGCCCGTTATATAATAGTTATTCTATAATATTGATATCAACCAATCAATGTGCCCGTTATATAATAGTTATTTTATAATATTGATTTCAACCAATCAATGTGCCCGTTATATAATAGTTATTTTATAATATTGATTTCAACCAATCGATGTGCCCGTTATATAATAGTTATTTTATAATATTGATTTCAACCAATCAATGTGCCCGTTATAYAATAGTTGTTCTATAATATTGATTAATTTTGATTGGCAGGTAGACGAGGAAACTAACCTGGAAGAAGTAAAACAAGAAGAACAAGCAAGCCTTAAAGGAGCAACGTCTTGCAGACAAGTAAAAACTCTATTGAAATCATGGACCGATAGCTCAGGTAAAATATATTCAGTGCACCGAATCTAGACCACAATGCAATGCGCAATGGTATTCCAGAAAAGGTCTTTTGTATTGTTTATAATTGTTGTTGTTGATGTTGTCGTTGTTTTTTTTTCTGTTTTGTTTTGCTTTGCTTTTTTTCATAATTCCAGTAAATATTGATATGTATATCTAATTTCCATTACTTTTCAAAGTGTTCAGGTTTGGGGCCGGCTAAAAAGCCGTTCCACTTTGAGGGAGATCACTTCGAAGCATGAACGGATCCGTGTGAGCACTGCTTCAATCCGTACCGAAATGTGTACAGTTCCGTGTGAACAGTGTCCTCAAACTTGATCGGTGTGAACGTATTTTCAATCATTTTCTTTGTGATCAAGCTGTAAACTTTATCGCTCAATCTACGGTTCATGTGTTTGAGGAAAGCTTGTCTCCTTCCAAATGTTAGCCTGCGTTACATCCGGTTTTATTTGCCAAAACGGTTATTTTGGCRAAATAAACCGCATGTAACGCAGGCTATTCAAATGTTCGCTCGACATAAAAATTGATGATATTTATTTTTGTATTTCAGAGTTTTTTCAAGAAGACGTKGACGTTGTAGTTGAGTATTTTTTAAAATTGGTAGAACGAGACAACATGGAGCAATTATGGATTCTTATCAAATACCTAATAAGGTAAATAAATACCTAATAAGGTCAATGATCGCTTGCTGTGCCGCAAAATGATCTGGACAGGTACCAGGAGACAGTGGGGGTGGGGTGGGGGAGATTGTTTTATATATTACGTACCGTAATTGTTTCTTTGTTATCTATAACTGCCGCGAAAAAAAATCATCAACTTCGTCTCTGGATGAATATCAATTTTGATGATTTTGATCAACGCCAATCGTGAAGGGTATTCTTGGGTTGCACGTGACGTCACAAGCCCCAACATCCGGGACTTGAATTTCCAGGCGGTGGTCAGGTCCGGTGCCGGTGTGTTTACTATGATAGAATTCACTCAGATCTTGTAGAGTTTTTCGAGTAAAATGCGTATGTCGTGTCGTTTACGGCTTTTCAAACCGGTCTAGTCGTGAAAAAGTCAAAAGCTTTTAAAATGTACCAAAACGTATCCTTCACAAAGGAGAAAAAGTCAAAGATTTTACCACAAGAGGACGTGAAGAATGGCTTCGAAAAAAATGTCTTGAATCACACGGAAAATCTTCGATTTCATAAGAAAAATTGCTTTTCTTTAGACAATATGGATTTATGCCATCGAATACATTGACTTTTTGTAGGTATCTACCTCGCGAAATAGTGTCTAAAGCTCGATAATAGTCCGGGAGTTCGACAGTAGCGGCCGCCATCTTTGTTGGCCACCTGACCACTGCCTGACTGATCTATTTGACGAAGTACTACTTGACTACTTGATGAAATCAAAAGRTGGATAATAAAACTTTTATTAACCTTTCTAGCTCGGTCAGTATGGAAAAATATCACACCTCGTGCTCGGTTAATAATTGAATATTCGCGTCCAACTCGCATGTCGCTCGCAGTTTTAAATGCCCATAAAGATCTCCCGCTCATATTTGATTCAAATGTGTTAGTTAATACATGTTGTTGATTGATTGTATAGATGTATCACCAAGTCACATAGTAAAGTATGGACGTTAGCGTGTCAAGATATAATACAGCGAGTACAAGTATCAGTGATTGATAAACATGGTGCACCCCTAGCCTTACAACATAGTTAGAACAGTATATAATAAAAAAAAGAAATTTTGTAATAAAAAAAATAAATAAAGTACGTTCGAAAACAGAGGAATAAAATATTGTTGTTGCACATTKGACCATAGGAAAAAAAGTGACTGCAGCTTTGCGTTATGTTACTTCCGGTTTACTTTCACATTTTTTTCACATTTCTTCCCCTTCCACGCACGGCTATCTTAGAGACATGCGCAGTTCTCTGTTGTATGTAGATATTTTGCGTGGCCCCATATCACAAAATAATAACCTTTGTGAACTTAGTAATCTRGCCAAGTTTCATACTTTTATCACAACACCAACAATTAGCACTATTTTTGTTCTTAAGCAGCCGGACAATCTCGTACCCCGAGCCTTCGTTTTTCTTGGCCAGCGCCGTCGACAAACATAAGACTCTGGAGTAGAGCAGATTTCGTTTGAGTGGGAAACGGACGGTACTGTACTGTGACCGTAATCGTACTGTAACCAAATTCTAGTGCCCCATTGGTTCACCAAAATTGTGCAGGCCAGGTCCGGTAACTGTGCGGTAACGGTGTCTCACTCATACGAAATCGGCTCTAACGGAATATTTACTACGGATTTCTGTGTCCGGTTTCMATTGCGAATGATCCGCTATCCAAATGGCTTTCTGATCGAATTTCTTTCAGAAAATTTCCTAAAGAAAGTCAAAACAGAAACGTACAAGATCTCAAGTAATTGATCTATCTTCGACAAAGTAAATTGGGGTTGATTATGATCTGGTCAAAGACAATTTGGAATGCTTTCCGATCGCGACGGTTGGTCAGTTGGAGACAGTTCGTCGCGGCTAAATATAAATTACATTCCGGTAAATTCACTTAATGAGCTTATTCATCAGAATTACTTTACTTCCTTAGTCAATCATTTTAAAGCAAGAATCTAAGGTAATAAAACAAAACATCGAATGTTTTCCTTGGTGTAATTTCACTTCCGGCGGCATTTGTTTCAATTTCAAGAACCAATCAAAATTCGCAGAAAATTCCGCTTCCCCATAGTGTTACGTTTTCGGCGCTGGACAGGAAAACGAAGGCTCGGGGTACGAGATTGGCAGCCGGACTGCCCGGCTAGTATGCAAATAAAACCAAAATGGTGTAAACTAGCGGTAAACTAGTGTGAGCTTCGTCGGCTTTTCTAAAGAACAGTTGTGTAAAAAGATAAATCTAACAACGTCAAAAAGTATGTGAAAACAACTTTCGGACGTTAATCATTCGTCGAAGTAAAAATTCAAATAAAACCAATAGCAGACCTCTCATTTTCAAAAATATTTGCGTTTTTTAATTGAAAACTCGCTTTTCCTCGTGCTATTGACGGGCTTAAGACCGAGAGGGGCCTGAGCGCGGGGCTGGATTAGGAATTTCATTAAAAATCACATTCCTCTACTTCACAACACTCAACAATACTGTGTTTACTTAGCTGARCGTCGTGGTTTAAGTGATTGCTTTTGAAAGTTTTTTAGTTCGCAAGGGACATCCCTATCAGTTTGGTATTCCGTTGTTCGTCAACCATATTTAGTTATAGTTCGCATGGAAAAACTTCCCCAAACCAGAGGTATGTGTAACAAGGTAGGTTTGTAGTTTGTGTACGCCGAGCATTGCTATGTTGTCAAGTTGAGTGTTTCATTGAAAAGCACCAATTTGAGAACAGTTTTTCCACTTCATTGTTGAATTGGAGTTGTCTAGGTTAAGGGGACCAATCTCTAGCCCTCGTCAATATAGCTTATTGCCTGTACAAGAGTTTGAAATACTTGTAGAGTGGCACTATATATAATCATTTTGATGAGAGAGCTTGGGAGCAAAACCAACGTTCCATATATTCAATTTTCAAAGTAGGTTATAAATGGCGATCAAAAGAGGTATTTTAATTGAARATTACTACAGTCTGATGGGAGCTAATTACCTAGTTATTAGAAATGAATATATATATGGAGGATATTACATGGGCGCGAGCCTATAGTTCTCTTACGTAAAGATGTTATTTTCACTAGTGAAAACATCACATTCGCGGTGTCTCTATATATTGGAGGTAAATAAAAGTAATTTCAAAACATAATTTGCTTTCCGTGATAATCATACATGGTCGATTGGAGATACGAATTTGATCATCTTGCTAAGTTCACTCGTGAGAGATCTTTTGAAGATCGAACACTCGTAAAAGAAAGAGAAAATCCGTATCTTCGCGCGCCCATGTAAACTGCAAATGTACTATCCTCTGTAATCTATAATACCACTATCCACTTGTAATCTCATCTCTTGTTTTAGTTTACTTTTGACCGTTGTAATTTAATCATATTATCTATTACTACTATATAACTGATTGTAAAATGTAATCACATTCAAACTGAAGATGGCTTTATGAAAGTCGAAACATGTCTTTGAAATTTAAAAGTGTTGTGTTATTTTTAAATTTTTTTACATCACTTGCTTTTACGCTCACTATCCTCTGTATGTTTAAGGTTCAAACTCCAGATATCTTTCCCCCTTTCGTATGAAATACATAGACACCATATATTGAATATAGAGGTAGCCGGCGGTATCTTAGACTGCGTTTAATTAGGGACTGCACAACACTATTATCCGGTCGCAGTCCATCCTATACCATGCATTCCAGAAAACAAAACATTGATAATAGGAGTGTTTGTGTGCTAAAATAATTAATGTAGAGGTAGTGAGTGTGAGTGTGAGGGCCACAAGTTCATCAGTTCTTTACTGTCACGTGTTACCCTCGTAAAATAAAGTCGATTTATTTATTTATTTATTTATTTTAATAATTAATAATTTTAAATAAACGTAAAAATTAGTACTGCAGTAGTAGTTCAATCAACGACACTTATTATTATGGTCTATACTGAGTCGCAAAACACCGAGGATGGTCGACCGACTAGTTTCGAACAGAAATGGTTTCAAATAACTGATAACTGTTAGACCCGTGAAATACTCTTTAACGGTAGTTTTGGTACCTTAACACTTGTTTCACGGCTTTATGGAAAAAATCTCTGAAAGCCAACTAATATCAATTGTAATATATTTCTTTTTAGCTCAGATTTGAGAAAACGTCAGCAATATGGTTTAAACATACTAACTATGTGGTCTAAATGAAAGCTACTGACTGTAGTTTAAAAGCACGCATCCTCAGTGCTTATCGGGATTTAAAGGCCCATCATGTGACCCGATAGTCCGATGCTCATTGGACTAATAGCTCATGAATTATTGATGAGTTAGATAAATTAAACGCCGTGGTATAGACAAATTCTGCTCARATTGGACGCTGGTCTTTTGTATAGGACTCTATAGGATCAATAGCTCCAAAACGTCAATATGAGTTTGCTATGATTAACAAGCTCTTAACTACAACAATCATCTATGAAATTATTTACAGTAAAAGATACTGAGCTGTTCCTTATAGAGCTAGTTCGTCTTGTCCTGGATAAATCAAAGTCTTATAACCCAAACACAGCCTTTAACGTATACTTTTGGTCTTCTTGGGTTATCCAGGACAAAACGAACTTTACAGTTCGTCCATAGTCTCGGCTGAGAAAATTTCTAATTTGTAAACATATTATAAAAGTATCGTTTTAGTTTTCACTTTAATGTCAAATACTTTGCATCATTTCAATAAATAGAGTGCAGCAATGACATCAATCATGTTAATGACTTTACTCATGACATCCCGCTTGCTACGATTTGCATTGTCACATCGTTAAACTGTTTGGAAATCCCGTTTCCATGGCAACACTAAATCACTTTAAATCATCGACAAGAATACATTGAATGTTTGTTTTACCAAGTTACTCGCTTGATTCATCGAGATAGAAAAATCAAATATTCGGAAGTACAAACGTAAATAGACTGCGTTAAATTTCCGAGAATGATGACAGCGTGTGCCACAGAGGATGCCATCTAAGGTTGTCATGGTAACGTGTCTAGTCCAATGACAAGTTGCAGCACTAATTACCATGGTAATCGGTCGGAAGCAAGGTCGTACATGGGATTATTATCGAGCATAAACCACTCAAAAATATCGGTTTACAGCCATGAATCATGTTTTGCAGTCAACTTCTACAGTTTCATGACGGTGACTTCAATGTTGAGCGAGGCGAAAATCCCTTTAAAACCCATCTCTACACGCTGTGGTTTGTCTCCACTGTTCATGAAATCAGACGGTCTGGGTTAATACACTAAAGACGCGTTAACCAAGAATATCATTTCGTAGTTATTGTCGGTTTTGAAGTTCATTTCCGTGGTTGTTGAAAATGGCTTGGATAACAAACTTTATTTCGTATATCACCGGGAGCGAACAGCAACCTGAAAAAAGAACAATGGACTTGCCATCATCCAATGATGTCTTACGCTTGGTGAGTCATCGTTAAGTTCTTTAGCAAAACATTTACTAGATAACATACTGGTCGATTTATGAACAGAGCTAACTAGCTAAATCAAAACAGTTTTTTTCTTTCAATTTTTCAAGAAATTGTAGAATACGATTTGAAATAATCGAGTTTTTTTTAGTCCTATGATCTTCAATCTCGCGTTGTCAATGTAATATTGTATAATTTGAACACAGTACTGAATTGACTTAAGGAACATTTAGAATAATTAACAATTATGTGAGTTGTGATCAGGAAATTTCTGATAGTTATCTCAAACGCTTTCACTGTTTTTTGAGGTTTGGTTGTCTAACGATCGATAATCATTTTGCATGATCTATATGGAGAAGAGGAAATCGGTCTCTAATCTTCACTAATTTAAACTGCTACTTTTAGGACCAAASTTGACACTAAAAATTATGAAAAGAACAATCATTTTAGTACTTTATTATTCTTGAGTAAGAAAGAAACCGATTGATTGATAATGTTTGTTTTTATTGATGAAATGTAAACRGTAGTTTTGGGCTYGAAGTTGARCAGCGTTGAACCAAAACGTGTTAAAAATGATCTTCACTGAGCACTTCAGACTGCTAGTGTAACCTTTCAATTAATATAAACTATAGCTGTGGTGYATTTTCCAATAGAAAGATTATGTGATAAAGTTACATAGATATGACCAAAACATCTGTGGAACTAAGATAAACACGATGACCATATCCCTATAGAAGTGTTTTCATTTTTATTATATCTGATATCTAGCAGGCACATCTTGAAACCACTGAATAAAAATAATGAAATATACTACCCACCAAAAAATAGATAAGTATTAACAAATTGACTGATTGATAACTAGATTAATTGGAATTATCAAGAAAAATTAAACTATCAAAAGAAAAAAATAGGCAAAGAAAGCTAGCCGTTCATAATGAACTAGTACAAAAACATCAGAAACCGACTGTGTATAGATTTCATAATGCTACTCAAAGGTAGTCTTTTGATGATAGACCGTCAAGAAAGGCGAAAAATATGAGAAAAAAAGTTGAGAAAGCTGTTTTCGTAAAGTTTGATGAACATCAAGACAATAACTATATATGCACGAGGTCTCGGTATGATTTGAAAGTCCAGCAACGATTCGGAATCTGCTTAATCGTTGCGATGCTAAAGTTAGACTTCATAAAATCACTTTTAGTCCGCGCTCGTTAGTGAATTTCGCTAGTCAGGGGATTTTTATTCTGAAATCAGGGGATCTTTATTCTGAATGCTTGAAATTTGCGAGCTCAAAAATTCTGACTTGTCATGGCAAGTGTTTGTTAAAGTAGTGTTTATCATAGGCTCGAGGAGTCTACTATATCAGAAGGGAGTTGTTTTATTAGTAATTTCAAAAGATAGTGAGATTAATAGTTCTTATCAAACTCTGAATCGATTGTTTGGGGAGCAAGGATGGCCGAGCGGTTAAAACACCGGCCCCTATCACCGCTGTGGTCCTKCTTCGATTCCCGGTCCGGGACTATATGTGATTTGAGTTTGTAGGCTGGTTCTCTTCCTTGCTCCGAGGGTTTTTCTCCAGGTCCGCTGGTTTTCCTCCCTCCGTCAAAAACTAGCTGTGAGGAGTGTCGTGAAGGAAAATAATGAATGTTGAGGTAGTGAGTGTGAGTGAATATATAGAGGGCCACAAGTTTATTAGTCTAGAGACTATTACGTGCTACCCTCTCAAAATAAAAGACTTTATTTTATTTTATTGTTTTATTTTTTTTTAAAACAAATAGTGTAATTTTCAAATACTAAATAGGCACTTTTCATCGCACTTGGAAATAAAAACGACTCTATCTTAAAATGAAKTAAAAAACCGCGAAAAGATATTACACTTATATACACCTTAGTACGCTCTAATTGCATTCTTTGTGTCTATTTGACTAACACACTTTAATAGTTGTCCATTGCAAGTAATCAGATGTAAAAGTTTCAGAAGCAAGGCTGAAAAAGACTGCCCTGAACTTCAGTTGTTTCATTTATAAATTCCGTTTATTCAGGATTCTCAGTATTGATCTCTGTATGTTTTCATCAATAGTTCAAAGGTTCAGTTAGCGAGTTGTATAGAGACTCGCATAACTTTTATAACGTTGTTCTTAGTCCACCACCGCGAAATAAAAAAAAAGAAAACTTTYTCTCTTTTCTTCAACTGCATGTAGTTAATAAAGGACTAATGGACAGGGCGTGAAGTCTGTTTAACTAGAGCATTATGCTCCGCGGTCATCAAACACTGAACTTAATTATTCCAGTCTTCGAACATAATTCTGTTCAAATTTCTTTTAATTTATAACACCGAGTTGTTATAAATAAMAAATATGTTAGTTCCAAGTAAAGAGCATATGTTGTCAAAAAAACAAAAAACAAAACAAAAAACGAACAACAGCAACAAGGAATCAACTATGAATTTCATAATGATGGCGGGAATTATCAAGTGTAGTGTTGCTCCTAATACACTAATAGAAATGAGTTTACTTTTTTGTTTAAAATTAGTTTGAACTTGGCGGGTGCAATAAAAAATATATAATAAATAGATTAGAAAATGACCATCGCGCGTTTGAATTTGATCATAAATGCCAAAAAAAACCCCAGAAAATAACACCACCACCACCAACAACAACAACAAAAACCCGCGCCACTCTACTCTTTCATGGTCAATGAAAAAACACAACTAAAATTCATTATTTAGGGAAAACATCCAAAGAAAGCTGATCAATATCATGTCGCACATCTTTGGCTTCAGTCACGGAGAATAGAATTGAAATCGTTTTCTAATTCAGGAAATGGTTAGATTGTCATAGCAGTTGAGTGTAAATAGAGAACATTTATATGTAATAACAAAGACATCTGGTATAAACAAGGATATAAAAGCAAATCTGATGATAGTGATCGATGTGATACTCATCTCAGAGAAGACAATATTTTCTCACACTTGTTTAGTTCAAACAGCTTTGAATTTCTGGCTTTTTAGTTTATATAGGGAGAGATTCGGGATTGTCAAAAGGAGTCGAAGGATCACAGCTTTTAATTTTGATAAAATCATATATGATTCCTCGATTAAACGTTAGGACATGCGGAGGTGGAAATCTAGCSTTTGTACACCCGGTTCATTGCGATGAAACTCAGGCCGTGGAAATCATGAATCAGTTTTAATTGGGAATCCCAATCACATCAAAAAATCGCCAGGGAATTCACTTACTTTATCGTCATAAACATACCAGAAAAAATGTTTCTTTGGTCGGCATAATTCGGCATTAAATACAACGCGTGATCTTTGTTTGTTAACGACGAATTGTAGAAACATTTATGCTATGATGATGGCGGACCATCGCCCAAAACAAACTTACAATGGCTTAAGAAACACGCCTATTACCAGTGTTGAAAATAATGAATCACCAAAAACACCCGATTTTCTTTCTCAAACCCCCGCATCTGATATAAATGACCATTCTATGACCATATGGTAGAAGCGTAGATAAAAGCAAATTTGATACCTTGTTAAGGTCGGTTAATGCCCAAAAAGTGTCCGACTAATCATAARCTGGAAGTTATTATATTCTTGAACGAAAAGACTATTAACTTCGTCTTAAAAGCTCTRTCTCAATATCGAAAAGGAAACGACGTGTGTTATTAATAAAACCCTTTGAGACGTTTGTCTTTCAAGCAGGAAATCACCTTCACTTGTTTGTTCCAGCTAAAGATACTGTTAACTCGTATTTAATCTTCATAAGAAAAAGAATAAAAAGAGTGACTGTATTTTTAACGCCATCTTTTCTGAATATTTTTACACATTTCATTTAAAATCTGAAATTAAAGTTCATGTTAATTAGAACTAACTATAGTTGAACCTCTATACTATTATTAAGATAGTGCAATTTATTTTCCCGCCAATTTATCTTGCAACGCCGTTCCAACGCATTAGTTGCCGAGAAAATCCTGTCACACTATGAGTCCTGTTACACTTTGCAACTTTCGCAAACAACTTGCAATATAGACCTATTCGGCTAACGCGTTGCTAAAAACGTTTCCACCCAATTGAAACCACCCGGGAGTAAGTTTCATTGTTCGTTGTATTTTCATTTCACAGTTGAATTCTTAGAAACAAAAGTTATTTTTCCCACAGAATTTGAATTGGGTGGTAACGTATAGAGCAACACGTTAGCCGATTAGGTCTATTCTCTTTGGCTGAGGTAATAAGCGGGAAGCCAAAATCAAGATGGCGGACATTCAAAATGAGAAATTACGCATGGTCGAATAGCGTACGTGACTCAAACATTGCTAGAAATGTTGTAGGAGTGGTGTACTGCTGTAAAATGGTGTTTCAAGTTGGTACAATGCGAAAAGTAAACCTGAGTTTGGGTAATTCGTACAACACCGTGTTGCGACCCCTGCAACACTGTGATGCTTCAGCAGACTGTGTCGCAACGTTGTTAAGAGATATAGTTGCTCAGAAAATAGCACAGTTTAAGTAACAGGACCTTGAGAGCCGCCAGCTCTCTCTTTTACCTTTTTTAAAAGGCATTTTGTTTTCGTGTTTTTCCCCCAATCCCCCAATCCCCCTCCCCTTCCGTTTTCCCCCTTTCCACCATTCCCTAGAGCCTCTACGCGGGCTATTTTTAGACGGTATAACTTTTGCCTACAACTATARCATGCAACATGCCTAAGTCATCCTTACAAAATGGCTATAACTGCCGTAGAGTTATCAAACAATTGTTTTTAATCTCTACGACAATTGTAGTCACGTGGTAATGATGACTTATGCATGTTGCATGCTATAGTTGTAAGCAAACGTTCAGTACCGTCTAAATAGGCCACTTTATATCATCGCTACAACTGTCGTAGGGATTTAGAACAATTGCCCAACGACAGTTGTAGCTATGTCTCGTAAGGATGACTTTACGCAGGTCGTATGCGACGGTTGCCTAGGCAAAATTTGTGCCGTCTAATTTTTTTGGCCTTAACAGAATTCCACAAATCATGCCATCTATACTCGAYGTCTTACCAAAAACCTTTGTTTGTCCAGGTTTAAGTGCTTCAAATATTGACAGATGACTTGGTTGATATTAATAATAATTCAATATTGATTATTAATGATAGTAATAATGTTTAATGATAGTAATAATGTTTAATGATAGTAATAATGTTTCTCAAGTCTGCAGACAGTGAAAACCATTTGCAAAGTATTCCGTCCAGCAGTGGCTCCCAGTCCCTTGGAGTGGATAACAGAGGTTTAGACGGGGCTTGTTTTGACAATCGTGGATTGGAGGACAGCGAGACGGAATTCAATCCAGATCAACCCGTTCTATCGGTAATTACAAATTCTTTGATATATAACGCGCGCCCTGATTGGCTGACGACCGTGTTTATATTTTATATAATTTGTTTTACGCTCGAAAAAAGCAGAAAAAGTGATAAAAGAACTATAATAGAACAGCCGCTTGTGTCTTTGTCCTCGCTATGCTCGTGTTCCTAAGCCTGCATCTCTCGTGTTTTTCAATCCCAGCGTGTTTATATCAGAGGACAGAGACACGCGCGCCGTTTTATAGTTCTTAAATAATCGTATTGTCGGCCATTCCGAATTTCAAAAAGGGAATGGTGCCGAGTAACAAACTTCAGATGGAGCCAGATTCAAGACAAGATAGTAAATACTAAAATAAGTATAGCTGCAGATTTGAAAGTGCTCGGACGAATAATTATAGGGTGGCAAGAGTCTAAAATTCGAAAAAAAGAATAACAATGCAGCAATTTTCTGCAATTTTTCAAAGATGTGCTATTTATAGTGAGAACTCAACAAAATATGCAAAAAATTAGCAATATCATTAATTGTCGTTTGGTCTTTTATGTGGCGAGGTTCTCTATCAAATTTCGGAAAGGTCAACTGGTTCTATCTGTTTACTTTAGCTACTTACTTTATGTAAATAACCGTAAAGAACCATTGGGAACCGGCATGCACCGGGAGCGTATCTTAATCTTTATATTTCGCTATCTGATCTTAGCATGTGAAACTAAACCGCAGCTGTTGATGTTAGGAAGCTATTTTGCTATTTAGCTAGACTGATAATTCAGCTTTATAATGAAGAATTATTTCAGGGCACATAATTGTGTTACTAAAAGTCTCCAATGTATCAGAAAATAGCAACTTGGCTTAGTAAAATTATATAGAGGCTTGACATTTTAACAAAAATCAGCCTTGAAAAATCGTTATGCTAATTTTTTTAATAACGATTTTATGCTAATTTTTCTATGTAGATTTGATTGCAAATTAACTATGCAAAAATGCTTTGGCAGTCTTCATTTAAACTTTATTTACTTCTTAAGTGAAATAACTATTTTAGCAGTTGACGAGAAACGGTTTTCTTTATGTTGGGAAGGGAAAAGTAAGCTGAAATTAGCACTATGGCATCATTTTAGAATATAATAAAAAAAATCTATACGACACAAAATTAGCATAAAACGGGGCTTGTTTTGACAATCGTGGATTGGAGGACAGCGAGACGGAATTCAACCCAGATCAACCCGTTCTATCGGTAATTACAAATTCTTTGATATATAACGCGTGCTCTGATTGGCTGACGACCGTGTTTATATCAGAGGACACGGCTTACCGGCAAAATTTGTTTTACGCTCGAGAAAAGCAGAAAAAATTGATAAAATAACTATATACGACACAAAATTAGCATAAAACATAACCTTGTTTTCTTTGAAATGTGAATCCTGCATCAAGTGGTTCTTTACCAAGCTAATATTCTCTTCAACTGAYTCAATTCCATCCAATATTAAGTTTTCAAGACTTTCGCATTCTCTGGAGACTCGACGATTGTCCAAACTGGCCGAAAAGGATCATTGGTTTACGCCCCCAACTGAACGTCGCAACAAAGCGATCCCAACCCGACGAGCTACGACGACAAAAGAACGTAGTGACAGTACATCTACCACAAAGACCTATAGCAAACAAGGCAAACGATGCTCTGATTATGACACTGTAGAGATAAAGCGAGGGATTCAAGGTAAGATAAGTGCGTTCGTACCTTCATAACGCACATGTTATTATAAGCTCTGGGGTGGCTTGCTCAAAGCTCGAGCAGCTCTCGTATGTAGGCGAAACTGGATTAACGCTAATCGGACTTTTAACAACCTGACCTAGGTAATATAAATGGTACTTATCAGCAAAATCACTACTCGTTATTCACARATTCATATTTATCCATTTATCTTGATCAGGGGCGAATCCAGCTAGTCGGTGCAGGGGGGTGCGCACCCCCTCCTGAGATCTGTATCCTTCAGTACTTTCCTTATTTTGTATCTTTATGGTAATGTTTTTTGTTGGGTGCAACCCCTCCTGAGAGCACACATTCCTGAGGAAAAACCTGGAACCGCTCCTGTCGTCACATGTAAAAACAGATGTTAGTGAATCTTTTGTTGTTGTTTCAGATGAGTTAGGGTTCAAGATAGAAGGAGGATTAGATAAACCATGTTATCCAGGTGATCCTGGTATCTTTGTCCAGTACACTATTCCAGGAACTCCATCACATCATAAACTACATCCAGGGGAC